GGGTGTACCGAGGTGCACCCACAATCGCTCGCGCAGCTGCATTCTGGACAAGCTGAAGTCTCTGAATGTTCTTCAAGGGCTGCCCCATGTTACTTATTAAATTGTAACTTTGCTGCTATTCATTATGATGATAATCCTATCATACTGTTGTTTTAAGTTTGAGTGAAGACAAACAAGTCTAATGTACATGCTTTGAGTTTGCAGACCCCATCATTTCAAAAGCATGATTGTTTCTTTTATGTGAAATGGTGTCAAAACTAAAGCAAAAGCTAGATAATAAGACTAGATGATAGAATACATCTCTTAATAATATTTTTGCAACTTACCCTGTTTTAGGACCATTGTAGCATTAGTATATAATGTGCTGAAAACACTGATGGAGATGAATGGGAAACTATTTGATGAACTCACAAGCACTTACAAAGCAGAAAGACAAAGGTACACTTTTCCAATGTGTTTACAAACATGTGCCTGAAACAGTCTTCCGGGTTAATGTTGATTTGACATTAGAATAAAAAAATAGTTTTGCAAATGGATGGTCTCTTCCTACTATTCATATTAACAATGTTTATCCATTTCTTCTAAATAAATGCATCCCTTCCTTAATCCCATTTCTCCTAAGGGGCCTTGCTTAGGAAACTTAGCCTTGTCTTGTACTTAGCACCTCTTCCTGCTAGGCATCCAGTCCTTTCCTTTTCCTTTTTGTTTTTGCAAGGATTTATGCTTATGAGATTTTCTGATCAAGGGCTGCTGCAGTTTTTCTCTTTCCATATAATGGTATAAATTCTTTCTTTTTACTAACCCACCGATTATTGTAAATCTGCCTAGCTTTTGCTCTAGGGGCCTCTTACCAAATATATGTTGAGACATCAGCCTGCACATCCATATAAGATGCTTTCATCAGCAAAACCTTTGGGACATCTCCAGCTGCTATTAGTGGGGTAATTAGCCATGTGGGGCACAACCTTTCCTATGCTTTCATGCTTCAACATTTTTTCTCTGTTGAGATTTTGTTGCTCTGTATGGCAATGTGCTTCTGTTAGTTTGTTTTTACATATGTACAGGTGGGCTTCTGTTGAGTGTATGGAAGGAAATGTGGGTAAAGAAGTAACCCAAATAGTAATACAGAGTTAATCTATTCAGGATGGGTCTTTTCTGTGCTGTAGCTCCATTCCAAATTGTTTGAGAAGCTGTAGTCATCTAGTTTAATGGTGTCACTTATTTTGTACTCCTAATAATTTCTTATTAATTAAAGGAGAAAAGACAAATTTAGGGTTATGCTAGTAGAACTATAATTTACTAGGTCGCTACCAGTAAGACTTCACTTTCTAGGAAGAAATGAAATACATTCTCCCGGAGATGTTTCCCTGCTGGGGAAGCCTGGAACACTACGTGATGTAAATGCTAAAGAAATGTTTTTGAACCTCAGAAACTTTTAATATGTGTGGACTTTAACTCCCAGAATTTCTCAGCCAACTACAGAAGATGGTTTGCTATAGGCTGCCAATCTGACCAGCCCTGATCTTGAGACCCTTTGGTTAAAACTAAATATCTTAAATTAAGGGTTTTCAATGTATTCAGAGTATATTTTTAAAAACCTTCATGCTTTACTTCTTATTGGGGGGGGGGGGGAAATCAGTGTGGTTAGCATAGAGTCCTACAATGCTATGGATTAAAGGCAAAAATATGCTGTGGAATGCATAGGAGACATGCATGGAGCCTTGTCTGTAATTCCTTAAACACACCCGTTCCTGGAATCATAGTATAGCTGGATGTTCCTGAGAAGAGATACAGCTCCAGGTAGACCTTACTGACTGCCTTATGGAGTGACATTCAAAGTTATGACAGTACTGGAAAAATAAACAATTTTGCCACCATTTAGTTACTTTTAAAGGGTTTCTTTCTCCGTCATGTGTTTGCCATTACAGTCAATTAGTATGCATTGTTCTGACATTGACCTCTGAATGGCTATTGGAGAAGAAGGGGATTACAAGAGGAGAAGCAAGCACACAACGGGGAATCCACATTGAATAGAATGTACTAATGCCAGTTGTTTGCCCAGCACACTTGCAGCCAAGTCCCTGGTGTGCTAAACAAATAGCCAGTCCCACCAAATTCTTTCCAATGTATATTCCCTATTGTGTACTGGCTAACTCTTGTAATCTTGTCCTCTCCAATGAGTGTAAATGCATAATTCCCTTCTTGCTAATTATCCCAGCAACACATGAGCTTTCTAAAGGGTGGAGAAGTAAAGAAAAAAGTAAGCACAGTTGCTTTTCACAGTAACTAAGATGCTGGTCACAGCTGTGATCACTAAATAAGTACTACTTGTATTTAAAGGAGTTGCAAAAAAGTTCTGTTTGAGTGCCTCTGAAGCACTGAATGTTGTTCTTGAGCAGGGGTGTCAAACTTGTGGTGTCACATTGCCATCACGTGACCTATCACAATGTTTTCCCCCTTTGCAGAGCTGGGTGTGGCCTGTGCATGACGCATCTGGCTCACAGGCCACCAGTTTGACACCCCTGTTCTTGAGCATCTAAAAATCAACTGCCAACTCTTGACTTTTTTGAGTAAAATATCAGAAAAATCTTATTGGAACAGCTGATTTTTATATGGGTTGATCAGACTTAGTTTAATTAATGGCAGGTGTGTGCTGACGTCACTTTGAATGTGATTCTGAACATATCCCTACTTATAAGAGAGAGTGAACCTATTGCAGCCACATTATTCTAGTTTTTTTTTAATTTCCCCCCTTAACAGATTTCAGTTTGTTTTTAATTGAATCATACAGTCAATGTTATATTAAGGTGGAAAAAATTCTGAAATATCTTGGTCTGGTGTTTTTTTTTTACATTTCAAAAAACCTAGTATTTTAAAAGGGATATATAGACTTTCTTTATCTACTGTATATACTTATGTGGCTTATTCAAGGAGACTATGCTTTAGCAACAAATCCAAACTTTTAAAATCTTTTTAAATTTTTTTTTAAAAAGGGAACAGTATGCTCAAGACATACTGTTGTTTCTGGTTTAAGCTTGAGATGTATAGTTTGAAAATTCAATATATAATTTTAGTAGAAACCCCTAAAATTAGAATGTGTTAACATAACTTGCTCCATTCTTTGTCTAAGCTGTTTTTGAATAGGAAGATTGGAGAACAGTGTTTGAAAATACCTAAGAAATCCAGCCATAAAGGCTTTTGATATATTTGGAACTGATCTTATTCTAGCATCTTGTCCAATACCAGTTTTGGACTGGCAAAGACAATGTGGCTGCATTCTTTGTCTAAGCTGTTTTGGGATAGGAAGATTAGTTAACAAGCAGTTTAGACATACTGTAATCTAAGCCCCCCACCCCCCATTATAATGCCAAGAAATGCAGCCTCCTTACTTTAATAGTAATATCTAAGGAAATTATTTGTAGTTTAAAAACAAACTCATTTCAACACTTTTTGACTACTGTATTTTCTAGCACAACAATATACTCAAGGTTATTTATTCACGTAAAACTTTACTTACATTTTCTCATCACCTTTTTATTTTCCCAAACTTTAGGTTCTAATAAATACAGAGACTGGAATGTTAAAAATTTGTTTTCTAGTCCACAACCATGACATTTAACTAGCTCGCTATTTTCTGTACTGATTGGTACCAAACAGGTTCATGCTGTTCAAGTCAGTCTTTATGATATATTTAGGATTTCTGATCATCTTTATTAGCTCCATAGATGCATAGTGATTAAGAATCTTACACTTCTTTTTACAGAGAGAAGAAGAAAGAATTAGAACGTGAAGAACTTTGGCAAAAGCTAGAAGAACTCAGGCTCACCAGAACTTTGTCTAACCAGTCAAGTAATACCTCCTCTTCTCTGACAAATATACCAAATGATAGTGCCAAGTGAGTGCGAAAGCCTCTGTTTGTGAGGCCTACCTTTTCTATACAGCTTTTTTTTAAAAAAAATATGTAAAATAAAATGCAGAAGAGAAACCTCATCAGTATCTTTGAAATGGCCATCCCACCCACAACATGTAAATGAAATATTTTTGAATTGAAATACAGTAATTGAATGTGATATTATTTACCATAGCATATTGTAAATTTGTTTCTAATCATTGCTATGTTGTCAACTTTTGACATCTCAGAGAAAGGAATTTTATCATCCACGAAGTGTGTGATTTAATTATGGGAATGGTGAAATTTTGACTTGAAGTTTTTTTTTTCCTCTTTTTTAAATTGTGTTGCACTTAGGCATAGATGTCAGGTAGCTACATTTTCTCCTTCCTATGTGCTTTTTATAGTGCTGCAGCCTTTGGCTGAGACTCAGGAAGAGATTTCTAGCTTTACTGTATTTCCTGAAATGAAACTGATAATCTAGTATCAAGTTGATGGGATTGACTCCCATGAAGCTTGGTGGGGTTTGCTTCTGAATAAATGTGTATCACTTGAGTTGAATCTTCCCATTACAATATCACAGGTCAGGCTATTTTATAAGAATGTTTAGTTTAAAGAGATTAAGATTCAAAATTATATGAGGGACCTTTTCAAGTAGAAAAGACTTGTTACAGAGGTGGGTAAAGTGGGCTATATAAATGGATATAGAGACAGGGAAAAGGGAGTAAGATCAGTTTAGCTGAGTTGGGCTTCTCCCTCAGATAATTGTAACTTGGACAGGAGTTAGGCTGCATTATGTGTTTTGCTTCAGCAGTTATGTGAGCTCTGAATGAGGAAAGATTGTTAACTTTTAATAAAGAATTATTCATATAGTTCTCACGCTTCCTCTTAGAAAAGATTCAGTAGTCATGTTTCTGTTCCCATAACTAAAAATTGGAACCTATCAATTACACTCTACAGTTCGGAAAATTTTTGTAGAACCTACTCGATCTTGTTTTCCAACTTTTACTTGTGTTTACTCATGCCATGGACAGGGGGTTGGACTAGAAGACCTCTGAGATTCCCTTTGGCCCTATTATTTTATGATTCAACCTGGCCCTGCAGGATGGCCTAGCTGCTCCATTTAAAGCTTAGGCTATGCAATTTGTACGCAGACATGCAAGACAGCTCTTTGTGTTAAAGAAAAAGCAGTGCTTAAGATGGCAAAAAAAAAATGATTCTTAAAAGTTTTGTCTGTTTTTACTTGATCAGTGGGGTGTTCTTTTGCAGATCTTTATATCAGAGTATCATTCCAATCTCTTAAATTTCAGTTGTGTGGAAAATGGTTTTGTATTGAAAGACTGAGGGATTGAGCAGCATTCAATAAAGTCTTTATGTTTGTAATTAGTGCTGTATATTACCATTTTTGTAATTTAATAATTATAAATAGGAAAATGGTTAGATTGATGGGCTATTTTCCAGCAAAATATTTATATTTAATTAAAAAATTTAAATAGTAAGATTAAAGCAGGCGGCAATTATCAAACTTGAAATGAAGGTAGTTTGACAAAATAAATGTTGATACTCAAATTTTAGTTAGGCTTTTTGCAGAAATACAACAATGGGTACTACCTGGTGGTGCATGGTCAGTTGTACACATTTGGGTGGGATTTTTGTTACTCAGATCTGCTCCAAAGCCCTCCACCCCCCACACATTCCAGACTAATTTTTAGGAGAATGGGATAGAGTGGGAAATTACAGAAGAAAAACCAATTCATTCTACTTAATGGATATTATACATTTTCACATAACATCAAATTGTTATGGCCCTCATCTCCTCTTCACTTTATTGACTAAACAAAACAAGATTCATCTTTAATGCAGAAGGTATGTTCACACTTAAAAAAAAAAGAATGCCGTGCGCATATTCATCTTCATGTCTGCAAATACTTGGAATTAAATATAATGATAGTATTTTGGATTTGTATGGGCAACATTCCAAAATATAAACACAATCATAGACCCAATCATGCTTCACATGATTCAAAATAAAATACTTCACTTTACTATATTCTACTGCTCCCTCAGAAGGTGGCAGAAAGCTAATGCAGACTTAATGGTTAGCATATTTTAAAGTAATTTTCTTTATCATACCACCATAATCTGCCTGGAGGTTTTAAAAAGGAGAAAAAATATTTTAAGTAAATATAAAATTAGTATCTAAACTAAGCTAAACCTTTCTCATTTAAGGAATAATAATCTTTGTAATATTTCATTCTTACATGTGTTTTCTCTTTTTAACGCTTATGGATTTTAAAGTAAGTTATCTATAGGTTTTGGAAGAGTTCTGATTTATATGACAGTATTAATATTTTAAGTAAGTGTAGCACAGAGGTATATTTTATTGAAAAATCTTTAGCATAAGTATTATTTAATAAGAACACTTGATAAAATTCCTGTTTTCAATGTTTGGTTTTGTTTCAGTAAATAATAACTCTTGCTACTGAACTATTTTTAGGTTCATTGTACTGTATTCTATGAACAGAGGAGTAGGCAAACCAAAATGGGCACTTGGCACCATATCCACCCAAATCTGGCAACATATTGTGTCATAGCAAAAGCACTTAAGACTTGTATATCACTTCACAGTGCTTTACAGCCCCCTCTAAGCAGTTTACAGAGTCAGCATATTGCCCCCAACAATCTGGGTCCTCATTTTACCGACCTTGGAAGGATGGAAGGCTGAGTCAACCTTGAGCAAGTCAGGATAGAAGGAATCGAACTCCTGGCAATGTGAGCAGAGTTAGCCTGCAATACTGCACCACCACAGCTCTTATAATCTTCACAATGCCTCCAGTTGCCTTCAGGATATCAGTTGTCCTTTTTATAAAAAAAGATTGTACCTACTTTTGTAACTAAAAATCCAACACATAAAAGAGCTGAAATCCAAGAGAGAATATATTATTTCAGTTAGAAATGGTAAGAAATCAAACAGTTATGTCCTACAGCCAACCAATATTGATCAATCTCTTCAGTCATGCTTTTGAGGTTAGTTCTTAATCAGTGGTATGTTCAATGTACAGTTAGTGCATATAACTTTAACAATGTGTTTTCATCCCTGTGGAGTGTGTTTGTCAGCGCAATAGCTGGAATGTAAGTAATAATGCTGAATCAGAATCCAATAAAGCACTGTTCTCTCTGATTGGCAGTATATCCAGTGGAAGCAAACGTCTTTGTCCCTGAGATGATTAGTCATTGGACTCAATGTTTGGGAACAGGATTAACTAAACCTATTACTGGTAGATACTATATTTTAAATTCCCATTTTTAAAAAAAGAAATCTTAGTTCATCCATACAAAATATTTCTTTTTTACAGGAAGTTAATTCTTTCTCAGGAATATTCTTACCACTAAGTAGCAGCTTGTAAAAGAAATCATATTTGTGGAAAAGACTGGATTTATAAAGAGTCAAATCATTTTCTAAAAGCTCCAAATGTTAAAGTTCAGTCCAACAAAGCAATTTGTCCTTCCATCAATGCAGTTTTCTTGTTGTAACATGGACGTTGGTTTAGTCATCCTAGCTGAACTTCTCAGTGAAACAGAAATCTGTGAAGCACATTGTTTTCAACTTATATGGTTCAAGGCTTGAGTTTTTCTCTTGAGATGCCGTTTTCGGATTTTTATCATCCATTTCACACTCAGTTTGGCAAAATCGGCTGCTTTAAACAAAGCCAGGAATATACCACACAAAAGAGCAATCATGTTCCAAGGATTTGCAGTGACAATCTATGAAAATAAATTAAAGAAATCATTTAAACTGTTGATTAAAGAATTACTATTTACTTTTTATGACGGAATGTCTTATAATAAAACACTTGGCTTATACCAGTAATAAACATATCAAACTTTTATTTATGGTTACTTCTCCAAACAGACCAAGAGAAAAAGTTGCACTTCAATATTATTTTCCTTGTTACATATTCACATGGCTAAGATTGAGATTTTTTGTTTACAGAACAATATCTAAAACTGGTTTATTTGTCCTGTCTATAGTGATGCTTAAAAGTTGGTGAGCCCTTTTGAATTGTCAATATTGGTGTATGACCTAAAATGTGATCAAATATGTGGCTTTGAATCACTTTTCTTAATAAACAGAAGAACAAGTATGTTTTTGACCTATTTGTTTAATTTGGTTCTTTTTAACTAATTTGGGACGTGGGGAGAGGTGATAACATTTTAGGTTATATTTATGCAGAAATAATTGAAAATTCAAAAGGATTTACAAATGTTTAAGCACCAGTGGATACATCTACTTTAAGATGTAATCAGATATGCATTTTCCATGGAACAAGATGCCATGAAAGCAAAGAAACTTCCTTCTCAACAGAGATGTTACTGCTAAAATGTTGTTTCTATAGATGTCTATGGAGATTCTCAGTCATCTGGTTGCCAGAGCAGAAGAAGCTTCTTTGACGAGAAAGGAAACATCTTCAAAGAAAAAACAGAAAGTCTAGTTGCCTCTTGAAAAAAAGCACCTTTGGAACATTATGTTTCCATAGTAATTATATTTCAGATAAGTCATTGTGTAAAGCAGCAATCAAGTTTTTTCTGCCATTACAGCACTCTTCGATAGATCTTCATCTGGGAGTCTACATAAGGTGCAAATTTCTAGCTATTTTGACTGTATTCCAAGTACAGATAGTCCTTGACTTACAACCATTCATTGAGTGACCATTCTAGTGAATTATTTATTATTTATGATTATTTTTCACACAACTGTTGCACATCACATGATCAAGATTCAGATGCTTGGCCAATGGTTCTTATGATCACAGGACATTGCAACTGTCATAAATATGATCACCAAAGTCAACAGGGAAGCCAGATTCACTTAATGACTGTGTTACTAACTTAACAACTGTAGTGATTCACTCAACAACTGTGGCAAGTAAGGTCATAAAATGGGGCAACACTTATTTAATAACCGTCTCACTTAGCAGCAGAAGTTCTGGGCTCAATTGTGGTTGTAAGTCAAGGACTACCTGTACATCATCTTGAAAATAGTGGATGTCCTATTTGTGCTCCCAGTTTATACTTAGGATCGCATTTTACATCAATGGAAAAATAATCCAAGTTTACTCACATCTTGAACTTCCTGAATAAAAGGATCTTTCCATTCAAACACCACAAAAAATAGCTGGTCAGTGTCAGCTTTTGTCCTTCGTTCAATGTAATTAACCACACTAATCTGAGAAAATAAAGGAAAAAATAGGTAATTGTTCATATATAATATAGCAAAACACACTACTTAAAAAAGCCCAAGAATCCAAATGCCTTAGAAATAATAAAATTGACAGCCTTTGTGCGACTAAGTTGAGGGAAAAATAAGAACCTTACCAAGATTATGTACAAATGAGGCATGCAAACAATCCAGGTTTCTAAAAGATAAAGTAAAATGGGGGAAATTCCCAAAATGGCTGACACATGGACGTAGCCAGCAATAACAATAAAAGTTTATTTTTTCAAAAAAGCAAAATGTGAGAGCTAAGGGACAGACAGTACAATGCCTTCAAGAATAGCTACACCTTTTTTTCTTTTACAGATAACTGATGGGGAAAATGCTAGAAAAAAGTCTTGAGCAAAAGTCTTAATGATCAGTAGTTCACAGATCTAATTCCACAAATGTATTTCATTAGGAGTTTAATGGTAGATCATTTTTTTTTCTTTACTATTTGTTGCCTTCAGGATGCAGAAAACTATAGAGGCCAGTAGTTATCAGCTTTACCATTAAGCATTACTATTAATCTGCCCTTTAGGGGCAGATACTGGGGAGTAAGAGAGAACTTGATAGTCTACTGCATCTGAGTGGGGAAACTGTATGCCATCTCAAACATTGTGAAAGATACCATCCTGTTATCAGTGCTGAAGATTAAGTTACCAGTTTAGCTAATTTGTGTAATTCAGAATTGGAGGGGAAATCTCGACTTTGATGTCTGGCATAAAAGTTCCTTAGGAAATCCCTTAATTCTAAGGTAAAATTGTGATTTAAGCATCTAAAGGGGAGATTAGGAAAAAACTTACCTACCTTAATACTTTGCTGATTGATACTTATAAATAGCAAAGAAATTCTGCAAAGTCTTCAGTGAGTACTTTTCCAACCTTTAGTTTTTCACAAAACTCAAGACGATACAACCAACAATAGAATTCCAGCTATTTGTACAACAGTAAAAACTGTGTGGTCAGAAAGCCTCTTGAGATATCATTACCTCCTGCCTGAATTCAACTGCCACCAAACCATTTTCTTCTTTAGTTTTCACCAAAGACATTTTGACCCAAGTTCGGAAGCCTCCAGAGAATTTCCAACTGGAATAGGAACTCTCACACACCTTCATAAATTCAGATTTGTTTGGGCTGTAATGGGAAGAAATTTTATGTTTCAACACATTATTATGGTTTACTATGAAGCTTTCTTATTTTGAGGAAGAAAAAAAATGTGTGGTGCTCCTGGCTTTACAGATTGTTGTTTTGACTATCTTCCTTCATTCTCTCATTTCAGGTTTCCGAGCATATTCATAATACTTTTTTTGGAACCTGTTAAGATTACCTATTATCACTTGATTTAAAAAAAAAAATTACTGTTTTGTGTTATTTGGCAATCTCCATGTTGTAAAGCTTTTAAGTTAAAGCTAAAACATAGTTTAGCTAAAATTAAAATTTCAGTTATATTGTTCTTTAGGGTGAATGAAATGATAACATAATTTTGGCAGCTACTTGCAGCAATAGTCAACACAGAACAGATCAATATTATTTGCACCTTGAGGATGCAAAAGTAAATGGGAATGAATGGGCAACAAATTGCAACGCAAACCACAGGGCTTATTATATATATCAGCACACAAGTACAAAAGCTGGTGTTTATATTGTAATATACATTTTACCATTTTCTTATCGTTACAGTTTGACTTCACATTTATGGTGAGGATCTGAGGCTAAGAAAATTCTGTCTTGCCTTAAGAACAGCTAATGAGGTTTTAAAGAAATTCAGAATTATAGCATTATTTATCACTTAAACTTCAGTTATGCCTCAAAATCTTTCCTAGGGCTTTCCAGACATTTTGGTCCTACAATTCCCCTTACTCCAAGGCAAGCTGAACGCTGGTGAAACTGAGCCTTTACCCCAGAACCTGTGGAGGAATCCATTCTGGGTAGAGCTGCTATATACACTTATTCAGCATCATCATTTTAGCCATTGTCTATCCACTGCAAGATGAAAGCCTCTTCCACATGTTTCCAACCAATACGGTCCTGAGCTTTCTTTTGCCAATTGAGCCCACAATGCTTGCTATTGTCAATCCATCTTCTTTTAAGGCTCTGATGAGTGCTTTTTATCAAGTGGAATCCATTCTATGACTGCCTTGGTCCATCTGCCATCAGTTCATGTGTGTGTGTGTGTGTGTGTGTGTGTGTGTGTGTGTGTGTGTGTGTAGATATAAAAGATAATTCCCCTGAAGTTAAAGGAGGTTTATTTCTGAGCACACAAATAGTGCACTTTGGTTGGTATGCAGCATCAATACCTAAGCCTAACTGAATGGTTTTGAATTGCATATTATACCAGTTTGCTGGTCTTTGACTTTTCTCCAGGCATAAAGGCCTATCCTGCTATTGTTTGTGGGGAAAACAAACAAATTCCTCCTTCACAGGATCACGTTAAAAAATTCCATTGAAAATATTATTTTTTTTAAAAATCCAGGCACACATGGATTTAATTTTTCAAATTGATTGAATGAACAATGAATGCATGAATGAATGCTGGAAGGATTAAGCTTCCTATTCCCATGCAGAGTACATTGGACTATCATGCATTTCAGGTAGAGTGAGTAAAATATGGAAGTAGAAGTTTATATAATGTTTAATTTAACCTTTTGTTCTTTAGAACTTGAGTGTGCGCGTGCATGCATATATCAAAAATCTTAGAACTTTGCAATCTTCCAAATACATTAGCAAAATTAGTTCCAAGCTCACCTTGGAAAGTGCAATGTAACCATGAGATTATCACACAAACCTGAGCTTTTCTTATGGCCGAAAAGCCACAGTCAGTGCGAAATGTTATCAGGTGGAAAGCTTGCAGCTATAAATATATAAAGCTGCCTTTCTGAAGGTGAACTTGTTTCCTGTTTGAAAATACATGTCCTCTAATGATATGCAGGTCCTTTCTAGTTTTCAACCCTGCCTGAAAGGACATTTAGAGGCAAATTTAACTGGTAGCAGCAATAGCAGGGGATAAAGTTCAGTTAAAATTACACATCAGGCACAAATATATGAAAATGAAACGTAAAAATACTGATTTTATGGATTATAAATCAGTTTTGGAATTTTAACAGTTTTGAAATATGTTCAAACAAGCCCAATAGAAAAAGTTTGAGGCAACTTTGTCTTTTCACACAGTGATACTCAAAAGTCAGCTGTACAGGTAACAGGGTTATCCTCAATGCATTTCACTTCTGAAATTTTTCAGTTCACTTATGGATCATTCTACATTCAAATTCAACACTGTCCCCATTTCATTCTTTTAAAAATAGAACTGTTTTTCTAACTTGCTTCCGACTCTC